GATTTGGCCAATTGAGGGCTAGATAGAACCCAAGATTCATATCCCCTGGTCGATAAATACGGTGGATGGACGAACTCCTGCACCACCTAAGAAACCCTGGAATGAGGATCCCGCGGTAAATACCAACAATGGAATCCCATGGTTTCAGAGTGGGGCGAACGGATTTCGTCCATCCGGAGTGGGGGCGGTTGGAGGCGGGGACCATAGGCACCCGGAGAAATCCAAGTTCACCCCGTAAAACAGACTCCTTCAGGTTTTGATTGTGACCCTGGCTCAAAGCCTGTTTCTAATGCCCGATGTCCCAGCTGTGCCTATGAGAGCAAAACAAATATTGGAAGACCGATGCATCCCGAGTCGTCCTTTTGAGATCCGGCACGGCCGCGGCGCTCCGAATTTGAGACTCGCATCGTCAAAAGCGCGCTTGAGGAGTGGCGGAGCACCGAGTGCAAGACCAATGACGACCATTCAAAACCTTGCTTTTTGGACGTTCCGTACTCCTTTGGTCAACTTGCTGAACATTCAAAACCGTTTTTGTTTGGGCGTTCTGTACTCCTTTGGTCAACTTGATGAACGTTCAACACCTTTTTTGTTTTGGGTGTTCCATACTCCTTTGGGCAATTTGCTGAACCTTCAATTCCGTTTTTCTTTTGGGCGTTCCGCAACAACTCCTTTGGTCAACTTGATGCCCATTCAACACCTTTTTTGGGGCGTTCCGTGCTCCTTTAGTCAATTTGATGAACACTCGGACTCCTTTGGTAAACTTGATGAACATTCAATACCTCTCTTTTGTGGTGTTCCGTACTTCTTTGGTTAATTTGATGAACATTCAACGTGTTTGGCGTTTCATGCTCTTTTGGTCAATTTGATGAACATTCAAGACCTCTCTTTTTGTTGCGCTCGTATATTCTATTTGGGTGTCCGTCGTCATATGTTTATGAAGCAACATCGGGTTTCAAAGTATCCCCCCCCTCCCGGTTGAACAATTACCCTAATAATTCTCCGATCTAACGCTGGAAGGCCTTGAAAGGGGCCCCCTTCACAGTGGTTTTTTCCGGTAAGGGTTATGGATCAGCTTCATTTCGAACAGACCAGTGGACAGGAACGCAAGAACCTATCCAGTTGAGATTCGATCCGATTTTCCGTGTTAAACTGCAGGGGTGTGCGGACGCAAAGCGAAGTCCAAACTGTCTTTCAATACGAAGCTACGCGGGGTAAGGAAACACACACGATTCCACATCATCTCATTGGATTCGTTTCTTGTCTGAGTTAGGTTGTTCAAATTGAAAGTGAAGTTGTGACCCCATGTGAGGATACCTGGTACATCCCTCTACTCCAATTACCGGCTGTTTTGAGGGTATGATGTGGGGCTCTTGCTCGGAAAGGAGGCATTTTTCGACGGAACATGTTTGTCAGGGAGAACGGGGTAGTTGTCATGGGGGAGAAAGCAGCCCAGAAACAACTGCCTCAGACCTCGGGAGTGACCATTCTTTTGACACTCTGTGAGATCAATAGTCGAGTAGCTCCTGTCCTTTTGCTGGTACTTTTGAATATTCTGCATTTGGTTGCTCAGGACGCAAAGGCCCCTTGTTTCCGCAAAACAAAACCCTAACAAATGGCCTGATCAAGTCCTTGTCTTGAGGAAATTAGGGGCAGCAGGGGAGGGATTGTCATCGGTCGCCCAGAGAGACTTCTCGGGAACTTGAAGTTATCAGGAGGTTTGATCCGACAAATAAGCCCAGATTGGTGTCACCTCACTGCGCTTTTTGGAAGCCGGAAGCTGAAGTCATGTTGGTGTTTAGGATTTCCGGTGGCTGAAATGGGTGATGGGGTGTCCCTCTAAAAGGCTGGATGAATTGAGGGTTGCTAAACTGATTACCAAACCTCAAGTTGCTAAAAACTTGATTGGGTTTCCTTTGATTTCTCTGTGCCCGCAACTTCCAGAGCAACACTATCTCAATTCCTGAGATTCTGGACTTTCATCAAACTGTTTGGGTTTGGACCATTGGACCATTTTAGTGGTAAAATGAATAGTCTGGTTGCTTTTTTGGGCCCATCTACTCACTTGATGATGCTCAGTAGGGAATGACCTTCCAGGGTCTGTGAATGCACCGGATGGCGATTGCCTTAAAGGACACCATCCATGTAGGTACATACCAACATTTCACCCAATTGGAGTCTTAATATCCAAACAACAAAACATGATCTGCGGGTAAATGCGGTGTTGATTATTTATTATATAGATAGATAGATAGATAGATAGATAGATAGATAGATAGATAGATAGACAGACAGACAGACAGATAGACAGACAGACAGACAGACAGACAGATAGATAGATAGACAGATAGATAGATAGACAGACGAATAGATAGACAGACAGATAGACAGATAGATAGACAGATAGATAGACAGATAGATACACAGGTAGATACACAGATAGATAGATAGATTGATAGATATACAGCTAGATAGATAGATAGACAGACGAATAGATAGACAGACAGATAGACAGATAGATAGACAGATAGATAGACAGATAGATAGACAGATAGATACACAGATAGATAGATAGATTGATAGATATACAGCTAACAGATAGATAGACAGATAGATAGATAGATAGACAGATAGATTGATAGATAGGTAGACAGACCGATAGACAGATAGATAGATTGATAGATAGATAGATAGATAGACAGATAGACAGACAGACAGACAGACAGATACATAGATAGAGACAGGTAGATAGATAGATAGATAGATAGATAGATAGAGAGACAGATAGATAGAGAGATAGACAGAGAGCTAGACAGAGAGATAGATAGATACATGGACAGATAGATAGATAGACAGATAGACAGACAGACAGATAGATATATACACAGATGTATAGATAGACAGATAGATACATAGTCAGATAGATAGGCGGATAGATAGAAAGACAGACAGACAGATAGATCGATAAATAGATAGACAGATAGATAGATAGATAGACAGATCGATAGACAGATAGATAGATAGACAGATAGATTGATAGATAGACAGCTAAATAGATTGATAGGTAGACAGATAGATAGACTGATAGATAGATAGCCAGATAGATAGATAGACATATAGATAGGTAGATAGACAGATTGGTAGATATACAGGCAGATAGATAGATAGACAGATAGATAGACAGATAGACAGACAGATAGATAGATAGATAGATAGATAGACAGATAGATAGATAGACAGACAGATAGATAGATAGATAGACAGATAGATAGATAGATACATAGATAGATTGAAAGATAGACAGATAGACAGATAGATAGATAGTCACATAGATAGATAGATAGATAGACAGAGAGACAGATAGATAGATAGACAGATACATAGACAGACAGACAGACAGATAGATAGATAGATAGACAGATAGATAGATAGACAGGTAAATAGATAGACAGACAGACAGATAGATAGATAGACAGATAGGTAGATAGACAGTTGATAGACAGATAGACAGACAGACAGATAGATAGACACATAGATAGATAGACGGATAGATAGATATATAGACAGAACTATAGATAGATAAATAGATAGACAGATAGATAGATCGGTTGATAGATCGACAGATAGATAAATAGACAGATAGATGGACAGATAGATAGACAGACAGACAGACAGATAGATAGACAGATAGACAGATAGACAGACAGAAAAATAGACGGGTAGACAGACAGACAGCTAGATAGATGGACAGACAGATAGATAGATAGATAGATAGATAGACAGATAGATATATCGACAGATAGATGGATAGATAGATAGACATATAGATAGATAGATAGACAGATAAATAGACAGACAGACAGATAGATAGATAGATAGATAGATAGATTGAAAGATAGACAGATAGACAGATAGATAGATAGTCACATAGATAGATAGATAGATAGACAGAGAGACAGATAGATAGATATACAGATAGATAGACAGACAGATAGAGAGATAGACAGAGAGATAGACAGATAGATAGAAATACAGATAGATAGAAAGATAGATAGACAGATAGATAGATAGACAGATCGATACTACATAGATGTATACATATATAGTATTCAGATAGATAGATAGACAGATAGATATACTAGATAGATAGACCGATCGATAGACAGATAGATAGACAGATAGATAGATAGACAGATAGATAGACAGATAGAACAGATAGATAGATGGACAGAGAGATACATAAACAGATAGACAGATAGATGATAGATAGATAATAGATAGATATATAGACAGAGCGATAGACAGATAGATAGATAGACAGACAGATAGACAGATAGATAGATAGACAAACAGACAGATAAACAGATAGACAGAGAGATAGAATGCTATATAGACAGATAGAACAGATAAACAGAAAGACAGATCGACAGATAGATAGACAGACAGATAGATAGATTGACAGATAGATAGACAGATAGATGGATAGATGGATAGATACACAGAGAGATAGACAGATAGACAGATAGACAGATAGATAGATAGATAGACAGATACAGCGATAGATAGATAGATAGATAGATAGACAGACAGACAGACAGACAGACAGACAGACAGACAGATAGATATATATACAGATAGATAGATAGTAGACATATAGATAGATAGACAGATGGATACATACATAGATAGACAGAGAGATAGACAGATAGATAGATAGACAGACAGATAGATAGACAGACAGACAGATAGCAGATAGACAGATAGACAGGTAGACAGATAGACAGATAGACAGATAGACCGATAGACAGATAGATAGACAGATAGATAGATAGGTAGACAGAGAGATAGACAGATAGACAGATAGATAGATAGACAGATAGACAGATAGATAGATGTTGAATATATACATATATATATATATATTCACCGCTTGGATTCTTTGGGCTTGGTCCAAGGGCTCCGGTTCCCTTTCCATCAAAATCGAAAACTCGCTCGCCTTGGAGGTCTGGACACTGCTAGCCTCGAAGGCCTGCCGCTATGCCACCATGGTGGGAAAGGCCTGGGGGACGAAAGTGGCCACGGTTCAAAGCCAATGGTACCATTTTGGGATACTGTGGATGGACCAAATTTTGCACCACCTAAGAAGCCATGGAAACCAGAACGATTGTTGGTATTTACAGGGGAATTGTCATTCCGGGGTTTCCTGCGCGGTGCAGGATTTCGTCCATCCACAGTAGGTGCACCACCCAGTTTAGTCTATAAATTAAAATGTTCACTGGGGGTACAGAGTTTTGACCCATGGCCAAATCCGCGGAAGAATCGGAGGCGCTGGAATTCCAAGGTCAGCTTTTCGATACTTGCTGACATGAATATGTCTTTTATCTTCCCCGGTTTTAAAGGGCATCGATTTCACTATATACTGGGAGTATGTTCTCACTTTTTCCAGGGGACTCAAGCAAATGGAAGCAAGATGAGCCTGAGCCTTTTTCGGTGGCTGAAGATGTTGGCTTTGGTTTGAAACAGTTTTATGTTGAGCTTTTTGGTGACTGAAGATGTTGGCTTTAGGTTATTCCAGTTTTATGTATCACGTCTTTCCGTGAGAACCCTTTCCAGCATCTTCCAAAGGGGTCTGTGAGCCAAGCGTTGGGAGGGTTGATTTCGCAACCAGAGCTGAGCTTGGCAAACTTGCTTTTGGTCTTCAGGTTCCTTCATTAATTCACAGGCCCAAAACCATAAGCTTTTTCTGGCCACGGTTGCAGGAAAGCAAAAATCTACGACACCAACGTGAAACTCCCATGCTGTGACAACTTTCTCACTTTTTTTCAGGTCCCTGCCAACAAAAAACTGACAGGTGTGCTCCCATTCGGCATCTTGAACTTTGACCCGACACAGGTTGAACCGTTCCGTGGCCCAATCTTCCGGCATGGTTCGGTCGTAAGTTACGTAAGGCTCGGAGAATTTGTTTGCACGAGTTGTCCTTCCTCGCCTCTCGCGCTTCCACGGGTCAAAAGCTGAGAGATGTTCGCCAAAAATTCGCCATGCGGCGAAGGCGCTACCGAGTTTTGGGCGCCATGGCGCTGGCTCTGGCTCTGGGCCTAGCCTTCGTGCCGCGCACAAGCCCCGCGGTCTCCACGTGTGAGACGGCGACCAGAGGAGCGTGGGGGATTTGGGATGCTCGAAGGGAATTCCCCCAGCGCACTTGTTTGTTTGTCTGAAAGGGAGGGCCGCGGTGGTCGAACCCAGCTTCAACTGCGCCAACCGCTGCACTCCTATATTTCCACCTGAGTTGCAACCCGGTGTTATTTACATTTTTACGAGCCTTGGTTGGGGCTTGACCCTGGTTGGGTGGCGGGCTGGTCGGTTTGGTCGGTTGGTGGGTTGGTCAGTTGGTCAGTTGGTCGGTTGGTCGGTTGGTCGGTTGGTGGGTTGGTCGGTTGGTTGGCTGGCATCATCCCCAGCATCGTCGGCCTTGGTTGGACCTAGGCCTGCCTATTGGCTTTGGTTTGGTGGCAATTGAGAGTTGCTAGTTGTTATTAATTATTATTATTTTGTCAGGTGAGTTGTTGTCTGTTAGTGGGGCGGGTTTAAGGTTGACTCTGGGTTTTCTTTTTGGGTTGGTTTGGAACTGAAGTGTGCTTTGTGCGCGGCTAGTTTTTGCAGTGGCCTTAGGGCCTTGGGCTGGTTTGGGATTGCTTGGGGCGCCCCAACTCCGAACTCACCAACACTAGCCCAAAACTCACGCAACCACATCCCTAACGCTGGTCCATGTATCAGCCCCAAGCAAAACCCAGCCCTTTGAACCCAGCGCTTTGAACACGTATCAGCCAACCCACCCCCAATACAGCCTCTTGCCCCCAATCCGGAAATCTTCTTTAAATTCCAGCTTCAGCTTAGATACACGGCGCAGGGGTGGCATTGTGTTGAACCGAGGCTAGTAAAAAAAACCGGGGCTAGTTAACACAACTAGAAGAACCGGCGACCCAAAGGCATAGCATATTTTTGAGCAGCTTCAGTGTTGCATTCTGCGAGCTTCTCTTTTGTGTGCTAGTGGTCTCTGTGCAAATTTGCTTTGCAGGCTTCTCTACACAAGATCTTCATTCAAGCTTTTCTGCGCAAGTTCTCCATGCCAGTTTCTCTGCGCAAAATCTCGGCTTAAACTTGTCTGCTCAAGTGTGTCTGGGTACGTTCTCGATGCAAGCTGCTCTGCGCAAGCTGTCTGAGCAAGTTTGTCGCGCAAGTTCTCGGTGCAAGCTTCTCTGGGGGAGATCTCGGTGGATATTTCTCAGTTGCTCACTGTAAGCTTTTGCGCGCATCGTTCTCAGCCCCGCGCAGGGCGTGGTTCTCAAGGCAAGTGTGAAGCAAAAGGCTGCACATCAACCAAGCTGACGCCCGCAAAGCGCGCAAATCAACAAGTAGCAAACGTCCTCAGTTTTAGCACCTGAACCGTGACCGATCCTTGCAGAGGGTTGCGTGCAAGTCAAACAGTCACAAATGTCCACAGCTTTCTGTACTCGACCGCACCGATCCCCGCAGAGGGTGTCATTTTCGTAGAAGTCCCAGCGCATCGCCTTAGCAAGATGAACTTTGCGGGTCCACAGAAACTCGTGTAAGATTCCTAGATCGGCTTGCAAGATGTCTCGCGCGCGCTTTCTCGCGCCAGTTCGCTCGTGCAGTTTACTCGTTTTCTTTGGTTCCATTTGGTGGGAGTTTTTTCTCGTGCTTCTTGCTCTTCATGTGCTCTTGTGCTACTTGCTATGCGTGTCGTGCTCTCGTGCTACTTGCTCTGCATGTCCTCTTGTGCATCTTGCTCTCGTGCTATTTGCTCTGCATGCCCTCTTGCGCATCTTGCTCTGCAGATCGTGTTACTTGTTCCGTTGCGCGCGATTTCGCAACTTGCTCTGCACCTGCCCTCGCGCATCGTGCTCTGCGCATGCTGTTTGCTATTTGGCTGCGCGAGAAGTGGCGATTTTCCCTGAAGAACCCTTTGCAGTGCTTTCGTTTTTTTTCCAAGTATTTGGAGAATATAGTCCATTCCAATCTCCTTTCAATCCTTGCCTGCCATTCATCCTTTTGTTGCATCTCAAATGGAATGATGTTTTAATGGATCTCAAATGGCTGGCGCATATCCACACACAACGTATTCTTTGGGTTCATGTCAACTTGAAAAAGTCCGGAGGACCATAAAAATCAAAGGTCGGGCACCCCCTTCTAGCCCCAGGACTAGTATGTCAGCAAGAATGAGATCCTTGCAACTCCTCCAGTTGAGGTGTTTTTTCCAAAGAGCACTTGAGATGGCTGAACCCCTCTGAACGCTGGTTGAGCCACTTGATATTTCTTCCCGTAAAAGACTTGGGAAGGAAACTGGAGCCGCCACTCTCAGCTCGTGGGTAAAAAGCTTCTGCCCTCGGAGAGGACCGGCCATCCGGGACGTTTCATCCACGGCGCTTTCCGCCACGCGGCGCGACGTGCTGCTGGGCACCGCGGGGAGTGCGGCCACCGCGGGGCCGAAGCCGCTGTGTGAGGCGCCGGTTTCCGCGGCCGAAGCAGCGAAGTCGTGTCGGTGTCGTACGTAGGGAATGAGAACAAGTCCGGGTGTGGGGAATGAACCGTTTGGGGGTCCTCTTAAATCAGTTGGATGGATTATTTCGGGTTCCTTCCATTTTTCATTCCCTGCCGATCGAACTAGCACTAGCAAGAAAGATCCCTCGAATCCTTGCCAGTTGACTTCAGAGGGAAGGTTCCCCCTCTCCAGAAAAAAAGGGGTGTGATGTGAAGCCCTACATAGAAGACCTATAGACCTGGTGCTTCCACGCTCCTTGAATAAACACGGATGGTTGGAGTAGGTGTGAGCTTGCCTCTGAAGAGAATTCCAACATGGGTCTAAAATAAGCCCAAAAAGGATTTAAGAACAGAAGACATGGATTCAGGGGATGCCCTTTTTGACTTGTGAGAAAAGGGAAAACTCCTTTTTTTGGAGTTGGGAGCCTCCTTTTACGAGTATTGGAATTGTGGCAATTGCCACAGGCCTTCATTGTCACTTTGAAGGGGACCAATATCCTTGGCCGCTTGCAGAAAGTAGCAATCACATGTTTTTGGGTCTGTCCTTTTGTGAAGGAACCGCTTGTTTGGTGGTTTCAAAGGGACACCAGGGGCAAACCATACAACATGGTGGGTCCCCTAAAAAGAGACACTCAAACGATGGTTCCAACCAGATTCAATGAGTTGCCCGAGTTTGCATGGTTTGAGCCTCGCATAGGACAGCCCCCTACCGGGTGTGACACTCTATAACCTTTGTGCCAACTCTCGGCGAGTCGCCCTGGTTTGAAGCCGATGCACTAAAGCCATCCGTTTGGCCATGGATGTTGACCCATGGTCGAAGTATGCGGAGCTAACAATGGGTGGTGGTGCCTTCTACACCTCCAACAGGGTCACCCTCCGCCAGTCATCCACCCCCCATTCACAAAGTGGCAATCTAAAACCTTTGCTCACCGACAGGTGGCTGTGGGTCAAAGATAGGTACCCAAACTGGAACCCGGGACCAAAAATCCTGGCGGTCCGACTCCCGGCCCCAGGTGCCTCTGCACCGGCTGGAGGCTTTGCCGGGCCAGGTGGGCGGTCGCTTCGCCTCCGTCACCGCCGCCGTCAACGGGCAGCCCGTGGAGCTGATGGTGGACTCCGGGCTCAGCGAGGGCATGGTGACGCTCAACTTGACTTAAACAAGTGGCAGATTGCAATCACCAATTGAACCTGTCACCCACAACCAAATCAACCAACACGAAGCCATGGACGACGAGCACCTAAAGAAAGGTGTCTCCATCGCAAGCACCAGGTAAAAGACATGCAAGGCACAACGATAGACCACAGAGTGACATGCCCTCCCTTGAAAGCATCCAACAGCAAGCACCAACAGAGCACAAAACAACCAAGCGTAAACAAACACAAGCCAGTGAAAAGAACATATCTCCCTTAAATAGCTGCGAACAAAAGTATCCGCACAAAAAGGCAGGACCAAAGAACGGGTTTCCCTCAAACGCATGCGCGCAACAAGCCAACACAA